GATTTAGATGAGTGCCTGCATGGTATGCTCATCAATCTTGTTAGCATTTTGAACCTATAGGTACTGGAATCTTTATCTGTATTTGGAATATTTCAGGGGATTTTTCCATTTTTTGCTCTTCATTTTTTTTTTACCATAAATGAGCACTATTTTAGGCAGCTATTAGATCAGAAAGTCCTTGGTGGAAAAGGTTCTTGTGTTGATGCTTGCAGGGTTTTCTCTACAGGTCAAACCAGGAGTTTGCTCATAGTGTTTAGTCTGATTGCCACCTTAACATAACTAAAATCACTTCTACTCTCTGCAGCCAGACATATTAAAGGGGGGAGTTATGGGATGGTGGCCATCCATAGTATTTTTCTTTTGTGCTTGGCAGTGAAGCCCATTTTTTTTGTTTCTGTTCTACACTGTAAGATGCCTTTTGAAACTTTAAGATGCTGCTCTTGGTATCTTCTATGGTTGGCATTTGGAAGACATTTAACTTTTTAATGGAAGTATTACAATCTTTCAAGCAAAACCTCAGTGTTGACACCTAAGAGGTTGTGCTGTTTGTTTCTTCTGAAATAAGTGACAAGATTCTGAGTTTATTCCAATCACATCCCAAAAGATCTGTGAGTTTTACAGTTTTTATTCAGCCTTTAGAGGAATCATTACAGATCAGTATTGTAACCTTGTCAAGTGCTTTGTGTATTTAGTTGTGGTTCTCTTTGCTTCCTCAGGACAAGACCTTGTTTTTTCCTTGTATGCTGTCATGCAGCTGATACACTGCTGAGCCAGTAATAATCCCAAATACTCTAGATGTTGTCTCACTGTTGATGTTTACTTTCAGTTTTCACAACATGAGCACTGACAGGTACCCTCCACGCTTCCCTCATTTTTAAATTTCTCTTAAAATTTCAGCTGAACAAGGAGAATGAGCCATATGTGAATCTAGTTAAGGTCCTGAGCCAAATGGAGGCTTAGATCCAGCAAGACAAATGCTGAATGCACACTGCCTTGTAGAATTAATGTTCATTGTGTATTTAGACAACTTAAGTGGCTGGTTATGATGGTGAAGATGCACAATGAATTAGGCAAAATGAAATGTTCTTTGATGCTCATTGAGCAGCAGAGCAAGGAACACTGCATGACCCCTACCAAGTAGAGCTGAAGATACATTATTTGAGCTAACATGCATCTCTGATCCTAAGTATTTTTTGTTTGTGTTTATGAAAAAAAAGGATCCGGTGCCCATTGTGGGTTGCTTCCAACCAACATATTAGATAGACTAAGAATCTTTTAGTAATAAACAGCTTAGTGTGGTGTGTTGGCAAAAGAGAAGACCTGAGAGAGAGTTCATATTAAAATTTAAAGCCTTAAAAAGTAGAGTGGGGAAATGGTTTGAAAAGAAATGAACAGAAGTCACCATCTAGCATACTGTAAAGACAGTGAAAGGATTACTGTTGCCATTTCATCCTTTGTGTGTGGGGTGAAAATGGTGATTTATTTCTGTGAGATTTCTGAGCAACAAAACCTGACAACTGGCAATCACTAAAGAGGTGGGCTGCTGTTTTTAACGAGTGCCTTCTGCATGGCAGCTTCTGTGGAGAAACCAGAACCTACAGAGCCTCATGGTGTGTCAGCAAATCTCAGCCTGTGCACAGACGTGTGCCTGAGTGCACACATGCACCGCTTTTCTTGTTTTCTTTTGGAAAGGAACACTGCATAAACAAAGCTCATGGTAGAAATTAGAGCAAGGCTAAATTATATTTAAAGCGTGAACTTGGGAATCTCAGCGCTGGGTTTTGTGCAGAATACTAATGCTCCGGTTTCCTTCTTGTTTCTGAGTGCCTCCTTCTAACCTTGTCACTTGAAATTCTTTTGAGTCCCAGAAGCTATATGAGCTGAAGTGGGTGCTGGAAGGACAGCAGGCAGTACATGAAGAAAATGGGACACAACTTCCCAAGCCTTGTTTTCTGAGGACTCAGAAGAAAGAACTGAGTTTGTCAACAGAGGTGAAGGGCATTAGGCACCATATGGGAGTCAGGGTGGTTTCTGTTAGAACAGAATTTGTGTTGCATTGCAACAAGTCCCTTGTAGTTGCTGGGTGCTTACAGGTTGCTGTGACTGCTGCCTGAAGTCTGTGGTCTGTAGCATCAAGCAGTATTAGGAGGGAAGGCGTGCCCTTGTTGGTAGTGGAATGATGGAGAATTGTCTCACCTTGCTTCTACACTTCTCCCTCTGATGGCAGCAACCTCCCTTTACTTATCTGGATACAAATGCAACCTGGCAGACCACAACAAAGTCTAGATTAGTGATTCTTTCAGCCTTCTCAACAAGCACTTTATTCTGTGTCTCTCTTCCCCCCTCTCAGTGATTTTGGGCAAGTTGTCTGCAATTGGTATTTCTATATCCTTATTAAGTAAGATGTCTTCACTCTTCTGGGAACGGTCCTGAACTTTGTTCCCCTCTTGTGAGGTGTATCCAGTAGAGTACTATGTTTTTGTTACAGCTGTGAGCCCTTACTCACAGCTGCTTGGAGTTTGCAGAGTCAGAGTAAGCGGCTCCTCAGGGAAATGCTGCTCAGTGCCTGTGAGCAAATTTAGAACTTTGTCCTGGACACATACAACCTTCTCTCTTCTGGCTGTGGGACATTCCTCTGGGGGAAATAGATCTTGTATTGTACCTTGTGTTCTTTGTTAACTTACATGTTTACAGATAGTCATCTGTGAGAGGGCAGGTCAAACAGCCTGTTTGTCTATAGCTGCTGTCTTGGGACAGTAACCAGCTGACCAGCTGGTCACACTGGTGTCACCAATCCCACCTTCTTCTGGTGGAATGTCTTGCATGGTGAAGGTGACACTTCAGAGTCTGATGTGTATTTCCATGCCAGCTTTAGTGGGATTGTGTCAGATGTGACAAGCTGAAGCTTTGGGCTTGATCATGAATGAGTAGGTAGTGCTGTAGTTTCTTGCCCTTTTCCTGCTCAATTTTCCTGATTTTTGGAGGTATAGAGACTGACTGCCTCGATGAGGCCAGGACTTCAAAAGGCAAAACTCCTATCAATGCTGACAGAACCAAGAATTTTCCCCTCTGCCTAGCATTAATATTGGTTGGCAGAACTTGCTTTGAAATTTTAAATGTATTTAATGCAGCATAGCTTGTTTGGGGTGGAGATGGATGGACCCACATGAAAAAGGACCTAGGAGTTCCATACTTCAGCTCTAATAACTGAAGGGAGGAAAGTGTAGAAAGTAATTTGCAAAGCTACACTTGAAAATCATTCTAGCATAACATCATTACAATTATCTGTCAAAAGATTTAGTTCAATTACTTTTTTTTAAGCTCTCTTGTCAGGATAGCCTCGCTTGTTTCAGGATTTTGTTACTCCAAGGAGAGGTTAAGGAAGAATGAATGCTAATTCTGTCATTAACCACTGTCAGACACCCTTCAGCACATATTATTCTTTGAAAACGCCTTAGCATCATTACTGTGAGGAATCAATAGGCATAAAGTGCCCACGGGAACATAGAATTCAGGGAGGGGAAAAAAAATCCACTGCCTGTTTATAGCTTATAGTACAGTAAGGTGAGAGGAAGAGAACTTCAGTTCCAAGCGGTAATTTTGAAATAATTGAATAGCAACATAATTCCTGTCGTGTAAAATATCCTTGCATATTCTTCACACAACAGTAGGGTAGTAGTAAAATTACAAGGGAAGGATATTTGATGTAATAAACTCATATTAAACTGAATAAGCTTCAGTGAACTGCAGGACATTGCACCCTCTTTCTGTTCTATCCTGTTGGGTGACAGGGGTCTGGGTTGGTCCCAAAGTTGAGGGCTTGGGACCTCTGAGTGGGCTGGGTGGGCAGATGTGGTACAGAGTTTAAGGAATGATTCTGTTTCGTTGGCCTTGGTTTTGACTACTAATGCAGGTAGTTTTGTGCGTTTCTATTTAAATGAAACTGCTACAGAATGTTTGCTGAATCTTTTGGTGCAAATAATAATTTCAGATGACTGCCCTCTTTATCTGAGAATAAGGGTCCTGATAAAAACTCTATATCTGTTATGGAGATGAATTCCTGGAGTCTAAATATATCAAGCCACTTCAAGGCCTGTGACTTCAAACTAAGCATATATTTGGGGACTCTAACTTATAATTAATCATCTCTCTTTCTTTGAGAGAGAGAGTTGGGCTTTGCTGAGTTCAGATTCAATCTACCTGTTTTTAAATGCAGAGAAGGAGCCTCAGTTTGCTCTTGCTATTTTATTTTGAATGACTTCATGTTTTTAAATAAAAACAAAATTAATTCTGGTAATTATATCAAATTAAAAATAGAATCCTAAACTAGATTTTTCTCTTTTTTTTTCTTTATTTTTTAAAGGTATGTAATATAAAGTGAGTAGTAAAGTTCACAGGAGAGACTAATTTTGTCTTTTAAATGAGAATCCTGAGACCTAGATTCTTTGATTTCTGAATTTTGTTCACCTTCTTTTACCTCATTTTGGAGGAGAAATTTGTGGAATAGCATTAATTCATTTTATGGGCTTTTACAAGGTCACCAGTGGGAAAATAAGGTTGCTAAGAGAGACTGCATGAATAACCTACTCTATATGTTTTCCTGAACAATATGAATTTTTTTAAGTGTTTAGCCTGTTTGTATGAGAAAAGGTAATTATGACCATCAGGATCTCCCCCTTAAATAACATACAAAAATCTGCCAGATTAGACCCATACTATTTCAAATAAACTGTTGTATCTTGTGATTTTTTTTTTTTGAGAGCAAAATTATATTTTGAGATGTCATTTAACAAAAAACTCAACCCTTTTGTGTGATAGAGATAAATTGTTCATACACAATTACTTTGAACTGTTATAATTTCCTACCTCTGCATAAACATAAACCCAGAAGTCATTAGATTAAGCACTGTAATGGTTCTTTGAGAAATGTTTAACTGTAGCTGCTGCTTTGTTGTAGTGAAGAGCTGTGATTCAGACTTACTACTATGTTTGCATTTCAGCTGTCACGGAAAGTGAAAGATGAAGCCTCTTGTTCTCTTGGTTCTTGTGATCTGTACTGTAGTCAGCATGAATTTGAAGCTCGTGTCAAAGAGAAATTCTGGTAAGTCACAGAAAATTATTTTTACTTTTGGATCTGGACCTGGTACTCATGCAATCAGGCATTTTAGATGGCTGCTTTTTGGTTTGCATATGTAATGCTTATTGTCTTGTAGTGGTTTGAACCTTGTTTTCCCCCCAGAGGCTAAGAAAAGTGGTAACCCCCAGGGGTGGAAACCCCTGGAAGTTTTGAAGTTCTGTCCAATGAGCACTCCTGCAGAAATGTAAACATATCACAAGCACCGGAAGAGAAGAGTTGTAGTTGGGTTGTTGGAAGAAGTGGCCATGCTGTAGGAGCCATGAGGAGAGGGGCTCTGAGCCCCTCGGGGCCTCTGAGACCTCCCAGCCCCGGGCTGGGGAGCTACAGACACTTGGAACAGTGTTAAGCTGGACTGTGTGTCTGTAGCTGTGAACTGGGAGATGTTTTCCATCTTGAGTGAGCAGAGACAGAGCAGAAGCGGTGGCAGTGTCCAGAGACTCTGGCTAAGAGCCAGGACAGATAAGAACTGAACCGGAGGAAGCAGCAGAAGCTAGCAGCAGAGCTACGGAGTTCTGGGGGTAAGAACTGATACCAGACCCCCCAAACTCCTTTGAGACCTCCTGGAAAGGAGGAAGATGATGGACTCTTACTTGAAAGAGCCTTGAAGTGCAACATGCACTGCAGAGAGGAGCTGAGAAGCTCAGTCGTCCTGAGAGCTGAGCCAGGACGGTGTGGGAGGTTGGCCTTGGGGGCCCTCCCTTGCTGCAAGCTACAACGAAGCTCGCAGCCTGAGACAGGGCACAGAGGCCCTGCAAGGAGCTTGAATCTCCTGGAGATACCAGACCGTCACGAAGCCCCCTGTGTCTCGTGATATGACCGTGGTGGAGCGACCTTTGTCTGGGGTCAACGCAGCCCACGGAAGACCCCTTCGGTTGATTGACGACGGGGCTGAGGGAGCTTGGATACCCCCCTCGTGAGTGCTGGCAGAGATCCAGCAACAGCTGCATGCATGAGAAAGATAGACTGCTTCTGCTACTCTGAAGAAGCTGCTGCCCTGAGAGACTGGAAGGGATCTGTCCTTCTTTCCCTCCTGGACTTTTATTTGGAGGGGAGAGGAGATCTGATCTATTGCAAATACTATATGTCATGGTAGAGATAGTTGTGATTTTGTGTATAATGTTTTAGGATACTTATTTGTACAGTCATTGTAATATATTCCCTTTCCCCCATTCTGAGTCTGGTTGTGTTTTGTCTGGAAAAACCCATCTCACATTAGGTTGAGGTGTGGGAGGTGGGGATGGAGCTAGGGAATTGGATTTTGGGGCTATCTCAAACCATGACATCTCTTCTGCCAAAAAAAAAAAAAAAGAAAAAAGTCATAATTAGTATGGTTTCCTTACAGATGTTTACAGGATGAATTTTCTCACCATAATGTTCTGTTGGTGTAACTTTAGGCTATTTGAAAATGTCCTTAATGTTTTCTTTTGTTAAAAAAAAAAATAGGATTGATCTGATTGAAACCCCACCAAGGTAATAATGACTTTGGCATTGTTTTAACATCCAGTCTTTTACTCATGCTAAGGGATTTTCTTAACTGTGGATGTGGTTTGTGGTAACTTCTAAGTCTGGATGATTTTTTTGTATGTTGAAAAATCATGTTCCAAAAAGTCATGGTGGCCACATGTGTGATCATATATAGGATTAACTGGGAAGAGTTTTCCTGAGTAGATAATCTCTGATTCTTCTGGCAGTGGAAGGAAGGGAGTAGGAATTGGTTTATGTTTACACCTGCTTTTGAAACCTACTAATAGTAACAGAACCCTTCAAAGAGGAGTTAGAGCATCTCCTTTCAGGGTAGACAGTTCACCTGGATAATGGCTCACCTGTACTTGAGCCTGAAGTGACTTCTAGTCCATGCAGCTCTTCCCCCTCAAAGGGAGTGGCTTCATTGGGCTGTTTGCCTTTCTCAAGTAAGCTGTGAGTTTGGGAGGATTTTGGGCAGACCAGTAGGTTCACTGCGGTTTGCACAGCGGTGTTGGTCTGCTACAGCCTGGTGTATGTGAGCAGGTAACTGGCACTGGGTAAAAGTTGTACTTTTAAACTTGCGTGTTATCTTGTTTTTCTGCACTATTTGTGTTCTATGCTTACATGTGTGAGGTCTCCCATTGATCCTGCTGTCCTCAGTGTCTTCAGCCAACACTCAGCACTGCAGGTGGAAACAGAAATTACTGATTTCAGTTGGTGTGGTCAGTTTTAAGTTTAATTTCAACATTTCTTGAGAACAAAGGAGAAAAGTTATTGGTTATGAAGAGTTAGATGTCACACCCCAGGCTAAAAAGTGTTACTCTGGGAATTGCCAGATACTGGGCTGAATTCTTTCTGCTGGGCTGGAAAGTGTAAATGGAGGTTGCTAAACTGAACTAGTGTATGGCTTTTTGTTGTGGTTATTGTGTCCAGAGCCCTGTTTGCCCTGTGAGAGCAGTCATGGATAATGGGGTTTGGCTGTGGTGGAACTTGGTCGAAATGCTGCTGTGATGGTGTTCCCGTTTTTCAAAACTGCTGTCACTGGCCTGGATGGGAACCCTTTGTGACATTCATAATCAATATAATTGAACAGCCTTTATTGACTGGTGCCAGACAACAGCACCTGGCTGCAAGGAAGAGCCTTTGCAATTCTTTTGTCAGAAGCATGCATCTGTAGAAGTGACATGCTGGTGGTCATAGCATTATTCAGCTGGTAATTCACCTTTAATTATATTTTTTTAAAAAACCTGTGAGACTGCTTCTTGTTAAATATAACCAACAAGTGAATATTTATTCTTTTCATTTGATATGCTGAGAATAAGATGAAGGGGGAAAATGCATGTAAAGTAAAATTATAGTTTCTCTGCAAGCACATAATCATGTAGTTGGCTCTCACCTTCAATACTCATTCTGATTGCTGCATGGAGCAAACTATTGATTTCTTTTTTTTGCTTTTTCCACCACATTGTGTGTGAAATAATTTTCTGTTTCTGTGATATCAGCACTTGGTGCAAAATTGATAATTTGACTCCTCTTCTGAAAGACCTTTAGATATGAAGGACTCCTGTTTGATTCCTTAGGGCTTCACTAAATGTTTTATGTTGCGAAGAGACAGATGCCCCAGAGGCTTCTGAGCTCTAACTGTTTGTGCTGTTTTAGTGGAAGATCAGGGATAGTGGATGGATGCAACCAGGGAAATGCACCAAGAAACAATGACACTGTATTGCTCCATAGGGTGACAGTAGCTGTAACCTGCTGGTGCTGTGGTTCAGAGTCTTTTTTTTATTATTTTTTTACTGGTGTCTTGATGAAGGAGAATGGAAAGAGGAAATTAATGTAATGGTTATTTGTGGGCAGCTGCACTGCAGCGTAAACAGCAGGATGTCTGAAAGCAGGAAGACTGTTTTAGCTGTAGCTTAGAGCTGAGGCAGGGGGAGTGGATGAAGTGCCCAAATGATGCCCTGTGGACAGGATCTCTGCAGCAGTGTTCTGGCTGGATGTTGTAGTCTTGGGTCTTCCTGGCTATTGGTACAGGGATGTCTACACTGGTGAGCATCCTCAAAAGGGGAAGGGAAATTGTGCAGACAGTTACGTAGAACAGTGTGAAGCAGTGCATGGAAGGTGCTGACACTGATGATAAAGACAGATTTGGGCTACTAGGACAATAAACCAGCAAAATTGGGGTATTGGTGTCTTTGCTGACTTATGCAGACTGGCATTTTTCTAAGCAATGTGTAGAATTATTGCATGAATGGCCAGAATTATGATTAGTGTCAAGTACAAGAGCAATTATGAAGCTGACTGGCATGCATGTAATATCACATAATTGAATATATTTTGTTTAAGGGGTAGGGAAAATCTAAAGAGAACTGAGTTGAAGAGGACCTGGGGTGGAGCAATAGGAAGGTGAGGTGTTGTCTTCAGGTAATGCAAAAGCATCTCTAAAACTGAGGCAGTCAAAAGGAGGGCACAATGTCCAGAAGGGCATTATCAGCATGACTGAAGTTGCCTAAAGAGAACAGGGGTTTGGCTAGGAAGGCATCTTCAGAGGCTGGTGTGAAAGTACTCCTTCAAAGCCAAGGAATGGAAACCCAAGGGGAGAAAGCTGAGCATGAGAAATCCGGACAGCAAGTGCAGACAGTACACAGGGGCTGGACAACAGGCAAGAGTCATTAAGGAGAGGTCAGGAGTGGAGGATCTAAGATGCTAAACAAAAGGTGATGAAATGGTGCTCCAGTTGGAAGCATAGAACTATAGCTTGCTGAAGAAACAGTCCTCATGGAAGGAAAGAGAAAAACAGCAGTGAAAGATTTGTCTCATGTCCTTTACTTGCCCTTTGTTATAGATTCAGGTGTCTGTATTTCCCATTTGGAGAAGACAAACAGAAATGCATGTGAGGGCTACAGGTAGGTTTTAGAGTACCCTGCAACACTGCAAAAATGTCAGAGAAACTTGTAGCAATATAAATTTGTTTGGCTGCTTCTCACTTGAGATGTGGTGCCAAAATAATTAAAATGGGTGAGCTAATTTAATTATGCTAGTCAGAGTCTTCTTTACAGGCAGCGACTTCCAGATGCTCCAGAAGAAATCTGTCATGTCTACAGAGTAACAATTTCTGTTTGTGGTGGGAACAGAACAGTTTGCCTCAAGCATCTGCGTGAGTGTAATGTTGACTTAAGTTTCACAGGCATTTCTTAATATTAGGAAGCATTTTTGAAAACTGCAGGCCATCCTTTTTCCTTTAAGAAGTAGACTGAACAAACAGCTAATGCGGGGACTGCAGCCTTAGCAATATCCTAGAAAGGGTATTTTACAGATGGAGGTTATACAAATAAATTGAGGATGTGGGAGCTGCTAGGTTCCCAGCTGGCAGGTGATTTCCTTTTAATCGGATTAAGTCACTTCTTTTCCCAAGCCCATTGTATATAGTGCTTTGAATAATCGTAGCAGGGAATATAAAACCAATTAAAAAATCATTGCATTTTTTAAGCAGAAGATTT